GCCTCCGAGAGAAAATTGGAGTAGAAGGGGTCGCAGTTTGGAGAAAACGGCGGCAAAATGAGCCCCCCATGAGCATAAGGATGTCATGGTTGCAGTTTGAGAAATAACGGACTGCACCTCAGGCATTGGTTGGGCCAAAAAAAACATGAGGTAGGGCCTAGAAAGAAGGCCTCAACAACTAGTTGACAATTGGCATGCCAAAAAAATAAAGAAAAAGAAAAGAAAAAGGAGAGGAAAAGGAGGGATGCAAGGAACATGAATATGGACGAAGCACAGAAATCGAGATTGCAAAATCACACTAAAGTCCAAGTAGTCAAAGCAAGAGCAGATAGCACAATGGAACCGAGTAACCATCCATTTGAGAACGATATAGAAGTATCGTGAGTCAGTGTCCAAGCCCAACAGGGCAACACCAACAGCATAACCCAATGTAGCTCTCTCTTGAATGGCATCAGGCGCCCTACCTTCTCTACAGCCTAACACTACAACTACAGTATGAAAGCAACCAGACAACTTAACGACCAGCGAGTGATGATGTCAACTCCAATGCCGACCTCCCACCTCCACCAGGTACGTCTCCCTCATCACCCACACTCTCCCTTGTTATCCCACACAGCGCCCTTCACCTTCGAAGAACCACCTTCGCCCTTCCTCCTCTGCGCCCGCAGGCAGCCCGGCTATGGCCGCCAGCGCCCTGCGCCCAGACAACGCTCTACCACTAGCGCTTGCCTGCCTCTGCTCAGCCTAGCGCAACGCAACACACATGCATCGCAGCAGCGTGTCGGCCTTGCTCGCAATGGCCAAGATCTCCTGCCCACTCGCCCTGCTTGCCTATATGCCAGTGTTGCGTGTGGGCGGCCTCCCTTAAGCCTGCCCCTGGGCCCCAGTACCTGAACCCATGTCCGATGCGGTTGGGGCCCGGGAGATGCAGTTGTGCCTCCTTCATCAGGGTCTGCGGCCAGATTCCGATAGTGGGCCGGTTTCCCATTGGCATTTTCGGCCTCTATTTCCAGTATGCAATGTCGGCCTCACATTTATGTGCCCAGGGCCTAACCAATTCTGGGGCCCTGGGATTTCTGCATTTGCAGAGCTCCGATACTCGGTGCCTCCAACCAACTGGTGTGCTGCAACTGTATGGACCCCACTTCGAGAAATGTTTGCACAGAGGGCTCTTGTTGATTTGCTGGCCCGCCTTCACTTAGGGCGGGCACGAGGCTTGCTGGGGCCTTAGCCCAGAACATGTACATCATGGCAAGGCCCCCTTCTTGAGGGCTCAATCCTCACAGGGAGAATGGGACAAGGAGAGAAAAAGGAGAGGAAAAGGAGGGTGAGAGGGAGGGAGGGAGTTGGCAGGCAGTAGGGATTGGCAAGTCCCTACTATTGAAATTTGGAGGGAAAAGAAAAAAGAAAAAAGAAAAGGAAAAAGGGCACTAACGGTCAAAAACGACTACTTGGGAGGTGACCAGATGCATCCTGGGATGTATCGGTTACTAAGTATCTTGATTTTCTTTTAGATTTTAATGAGAAAATCAAAGAAAATCAAGGGTTCATGCAACTGAGATACGTCGGATTACAAGGGGAAGAGGAAAAACATGTTTTGGGTGCATCCGGAGCCAATATTCAGTCCGGATGCATCTGGAAATGAGCCACTTCATTTTGTTTCAGTTTGGGGGAGGTCGTGGGGCAATGAGGTTAGGAAAATGGGCATTGTTGCAGTGCGGAACCGTCGTCGTCCTCCCCGCCGCTCCAGCAGTCGCTCCCGCCACGCTGCACGCTTCGTCTCCGCTCCAGTCGCCGCTCCTGCTGATCCTCTCTCTCGCTGATTCTCTCTCTCTCTCTCTCTCTCTCTCTCTCTCTCTCTCTCCTGTCTCTTATACACATCTAGATGTGTATAAGAGACAGGTGTATGATCGGGGACTGACGCATTCTTCCTGTGT